TATATCCTTAGCTGGAAGCTCTCTGTTTCAAACGTGAAATTCAGTTTCAAACTCAGCTTACTCTTGCAAGCCTGCCTATAAAGCTATAAAGCTACTAGTCTTCAATAATGTTTACTGTCCCGAGTTTGCATTTCTCGTTCTTGTGGGCCGGTTCTTTTTGTTTAGAGAATGACAAAAGAAGACCGAGTTTTTGATTTATTCCATTTTATGTTGCCTTCTGGAATTAATTTTTATGTCTACAGGTGGCTAAATGACGAATCGCTTATGATGGGCCGGGTGTAAACATGTCCCGAAAGGAACTTCAGAATCTGGTTTCATTTAATTTGTGCAAATTTTATTGAGCCTCAAAGCTTCTAGGTGCCAAAACGGCCTGCTTAAAAAAAAAAAATGGTTTTCCATTAGGCGGCTTGCAAGTAGCCAGCCAGTCCTTAACACCAGCTTTTCACTGTTCCTTTATATGGAGGAGCGCTGAGTCCTGAAAAAGGAATACAGATAGTCCTTGACTTACAACCACGCGTTTAGCAGCTGCTCAAAACAACAACGCCACTGGGGGAAAAAAGGACTTACCACCATCGCAGCCTCCCCATGGTCATTTGCAGTAGTAGACTGCTGCCAATTCCGACTGGTTCTAGCGAACCGGTATGAATGACAGTCAGTTGGGCCCGCCCACCAGCTGCCCCCTTATCCTGTCTTATATATGCTTCTTTTGCAGCTCAACTGATTTGCGTGGCAAAATGCATTACCGTGCCTCAGCTGTTCTATTTACTGGGGAAGGCTAGAATAGTGACGGTGAACCTTTTTGTTGTGATGTGCCAAAAGCGCGCAGGTGCCGGCATCTACAGTGCAATGCACATCGCCCCTCCTGCACATGCACATGCCACCCTCCCGCCCCCTAACCTACACTGCACATGCACACGCCTCCCAGCTGATTTTCGGCCCATTTGAAGCCTTTTTTTTGCCTTCCCGGAGACTCGAGGGAAGCCTCTGCAGCCTTTGGAGGCTGAAAAATGGGCCCGCTTTGGCACTTCCAGTATTAGGCTTCTCTTGAGCCCCCCGGGAGGGCAAAACCCGCCTCAAACAGGTCAAAAATCAGCTGGGAGGCGCGCACATGCGCAGTTTAGATAACTTTGGCTGAGACTCGTGTGCCCACGCAAATGGCTGTGTGTGCCACCTGTGGCAGGCGTGCCATAGATTCGTCATCATGGGGCTAGAAGATGAGCTGGAGAGGTTCAAATTGGTATTCCTTGAATGCTGCACATGCGCACAAAGTGCGTGTGTGCAGAACCAGTTGTTAAAACGGTTGCAGCCCACTGCTCATTTGATCAAAATTTGACCTCTTGGCAACCAGCATCTATTTACAAAAGTTGCGGCACACCAGGGGCATCGGATCACCATTTTGCAAACATCCCAGCTGCCTCCTCCTCCTCTCCTCCTCCTCCTCCTTCTCCTCCTCCTCCTCCTCTCTCTCTTTTGCCTCCTTTTAATCTTACAAATAGCTCTTGTGGTGCAGTGGTGAGAATGCAGGACTGCAGGCAAACTCTGCCCACTGTCTGGAGTTTGATCCTGACAGGCTCAAGGTTGACTCAGCCTTCCATCCTTCCCAGGTTGGTCAAATGAGGACCCAGATAATTGGGGGCCAGAGGCTGACTCTGTAAACCACTTAGAGAGGGCTGTAAATCAGCAGCTCCTCAAGGATCGGTTCTGTGGAGAGAGATTTTTCCATGGAGGACCAGAGGCTTCGTGCTCTGCCTACCTCCCACAAATGGGGCTTCGCTTGTTTATGTGGCCACGTTTCTGGCATGCCGTGGCCCGGTGCCAGTCCACAGACTTGAGGGTAGGGGACCCTGCTGTAAAATCACTATGGAGCATTATATAAATCTTAAGTGCTATTGGTACAGGTAGTTGTTGAGGTACAACAGTTCACTTAGAGACCTTCGAAGTTACAATGGCACTGGAAAACAGTGATTTATGACCGTTTTTCAAACTTGCGGCAGCTGCCGCATCTCTGTCACCGTGTGACCAAAATCTAGATGCTTGGCAGCTGGTTCGTTCTTTTTTTTTTTTTTTAAAGAATTTTATTAATTTTCAAACAAACATGTACAAACAAAACACAAAACATAAAACTTCTTTTTGGAAAACAGCCTAGTCCCGGGTTACATCTTTTAGTACAGACATAAATCAAGTTCATGCTCACTTTATATACCATTTCATATCTTATTTACCATCCTATATTTTCTATATGGCTTCTCCCCTCTTTTCACTCTCTGAATTCTATTTTATATTATTTCATCTCAATTTAGATCATTATACTGATATCTTTTGTCCGTTCTGTAATCATCTATTTTTCTTTTCTTATTAACACAACATTTCTCCTGTAATCACTGTTTGAAGTATGACGCCTTTATATCTTTCCCCTAAATTTAACACTTAAAATAATATATAATTCTCATTCCGATTCTGCTTAGCACATTCTAAAACTACCTACTACTATTTTAAGATAGAAAAACAATAAATTTATAATATAATTAAAACAATAATCCATAGTATATTAAACTTTATCATTTATGCATTTTTTGGTATTTTGTTAAATCTTATAAAGATCCAGTTTTCTAACATTGTTTCAAATAAAAATACAAGAATACAATCTTATGTACTTATGCAGCTGGTTCGTTCTTATAACCATTGCTGTGTCCGAAGGTCATGGGAGGGTTGCACAACCTTCTCACCAGCAAACTCCATGGGGAAACCAGACTCACTTTAACAACCTTATCAGCTACAGGGATTCACTTAACAACTGTGGTCGTAAAATGGGACAAAACCCACTCCACGAGGGTCTTGAATTAACAGCAGAAACGTGGGGCTCAGTTGTCGTAAGTCGAGGATTGCCTGTTTTAAATGCTGTCGGACCAGTGGTGGGATTCAGATTTTTTTTTTTACTATCGGTTTTGTGGGCGTGGCTTGGTGGGCGTGGCAGGGGAAGGATACTGCAAAATCCCCATTC